GACTTCAGATACCTGCCAGATGAAAAGGGTATGGTTCCAATGAGATGAGCTTCTGAACAGCCATGATCAATGCAGGACTTGTGGTAGTGGCTTAATTAGTAAAAAATCTAGAGCGGTGCTTCAGCAAAGTGGAGTTTTGGGTTTTAAAAGTTACAGCAGTCAGTTCACTCCCTCTTTCAGTAAAAATACCAGAATTACTGTTGGCTAACACTGGGTTTGTTAGTGCTGCCATGCCTGCAATATTTTCCTTTAAATAATTCCTACAATAACTTGATGCCACAAGGAAGTTCCTTTAGGCCTTCATTAAAGAGAAATGCAACACTTTCCACTCCTTTCTCTGTAGATCCATATGGCAACAAAGCAAAGAGGCAACGATCAACGTTGGCTTGGCAGAAGCTCATACAGGACTGCGGTGAGGAAAATATTTGTGTTTTTCTTCTTGTTTGAGTGAACTTACATTTAGAGCTGTTTCCTCTAAACGCTGCACACTGGTGTTCCATCACAGGATCAAACACGATGGAAAGGCCCAAAGTAGCCTCATTCCCTGTTGTCACTCCTGAAGGGAAGATGATCAAGAAAGGTAGGTAAACCTGCAATCTGATAGTGGCTTAAGCAGATAATGCCTTCCTCTTCGCTTGATATTCCAATCTCTCGAGGGTTTCTTCCTGTAAGATAGTGATGCTTCTGACTGGGCAAACTTAAAGCTATCAGTTCTTTATGTCACCTTCAGTATGGGCCGTAGAAGGGTGATGTAGGCAGTTCCTGGGGAGCAGTGAAGCAAGTAGCCAGTGGAAATCAATGGAAGTACCCGTACAGTCTTGCTGTCTTTCCTTTGCTTTTTACCATTCCTAATTTCAAAAACCCCCTAAAAAGTGGCGTTCTCTCCGTAGAACCGAACATGTTTCCCTCCACGCTGATGATGCCGGCAGGGCTGGGAGCCCTGTCCAACCCCAGCCAGCTGTACCCGGGCTGCTCGCAGCTGGCGCACACGCCGGCGCTGGCCCCGGGCAAGCAGGACGGGCTGGCCCCGTGCTGGCTGCACAGCCCCGCGGCCCCGGCCGGGCTGCTGGGCTCGCACCAGCACAGCAGCTTCAACAGCGAGCCCCAGCCCAATGTCCCCGGCGGCAGCAGCTCCCTCCCGACCTTCCCGGACAGCGCCCTGGCCTGGCCCGACGAGAAGGACTCCTCGGGATTCTTCCGGACCTACGGCAGCACGAACGGGCTGGGAGCCGTGGTGGTGTCGGCGGCCGAGCTGCAGAACCTGCCCGGCGGCGCCTCCAGCATGGTGGGCATGGACACGGACGAGCTGAGCTGCAGCAGCATCAGCCTGGAGAAGTTCAGCGCCGTGCTGGGAGCCGCCAGCCAGCGGCAGCAGCTGCAGCTGTCCCAGGCCGGCTCCGCCACGGGCAGCGGAGCCGCCGCTTTCGCCTCGCAGCCCGGCCTGAGCGACCCCGGCTACAGCTTCATGGAGCAGGAGGTGCTGAGCGAGCCCAGACTGTCCAGCGGCCACCAGGGCGGCCTGGCGGACGGCCAGTTCTACGACACCGACGGTGTCCACACCGATGAGCTCTACCAGTCCTTCTCCTTCGATAACATTTTACAGAGCTATAACCCGTGAGCCAGCGCTGGGTACGTAGAGCTCCCCCCGCCCCGGGTGCTGCTGCGTGGAGAGGAGTCATTTACCCTTCTGGAGTCCCTGCTTTCTCTTTCAGAATGTTGCTGTGCAAGTTTCGTGGTATAACTTAAAGGTTATTTATTGCAGCCCGTTGTTGTGCCCGTAAAGAGGGAGGTGGGGAGTAGGGTTTGGGGTTTCTTAAAATTACCTTGTAGACGTATTTTTGCGCTGTTGGAAGTGGGAACTGTTTACACTTAATGCTTCCTTACCTTTGGGGACTGTAAAAGCTGGCATCTTCAGAAGGGTTAAAATTTCAAATACTTCACAGGGTTGAAGTTGTTGTGAAATAGCCATTTTTGCTATAGAAATTAAATTTTAAATTTTGATAGGACAGAAATTAGGAAAAAAAAAAACCCTGCACGTGCGCACTCTATTCAGTCTCATCTTATGAATGACATGTGAGTTCTGCTCAACTTACTGGAAAGGTTTAGGTTTTTAACCCCCTTTCTATAAATATTCTTCTCCTAAAATGAGAAAATGTATTGATTTTCCACGCTGTCACCACACTCCATTTGCTTTGAAGGCAAATTTACTCGTAAAATTTTTTTTAATGACTATGTCATTGTTAGATATATTTTAAAAGACCGGAAGGTTTGAGTTTTTAAATAGTCCAGCTCTGTTGTAAAGGAAATCACTGCACAAGAGAAGGAACAGAAAGTGAGGACTTGTCTGCACTTCATCCAGAGTGCACTATTTTACAAGCCGTGCCCCTGTTGCTTTAGGAATGAAGCTGTTATTGCTCTGCAAGTTGTGTGTGTGTGTAGCTACGATGTGAGTGAGATTTGGACAGGCAGAAATCTCTGGAGCCGAAGTATCCACTTACTCTTTCCTCAGGTATCCCAGCAGTTTCCTGCTATGCAAGTGACTGCTTCAAAGAAGGCTCAGATCCTGCCTCCCCAGCACCACCACCCCCTCCCAGGAGGGCAAAGCCAGAGGCTGCCTTGCTGCAGCCTCACCTCTATTAACAACTTTTAAAGCCATTTCAGTCAGTACTAATTAAAAACACTCCTCTATCCTCTGTATCAGGAGCCAGAACTTCTTCCCTCCCACTTGATTCCCAGTCTTCGCTCTTAGCCTGAGCAGGAGCTGCTCCTGACACCTCCAGCTGGAGGTAACTGGCTGGGTAAGACACTCTGGCCTTGGCTACTTTATTATACTGTTATTTTTTTAAGAAGCAACACAGAGAAATGTCTGAGTATTTCTTAAGCTGCTCTTTAGGGCAGATAAGGCTTAAGGGTCTCCGTTGTTACCTTTTGGTGACATAAAACTGCACAACGAGAGCAGCAACAAAAAAAAAAAAAGCAATAAAATGTCCAAAACCCACCCCTCAAATCAAAAAGGCCGCTTGAGATGCAGAATTGTACTCAAGGAAAGGTGTTCCAGAACCCCTCTGTGGCTTACAGGAAAGCAGGGATGCCTTCCCTGCAGGAATCCATTGCAGTGGGAGCACTCCGGTGCTGCTGCTGGAATTCTACCAGTCAGGTGAATTTTGGAAACTGCATCCCCTAACTCCAGGTGCACAATAAAATGAATTGACTCTCCCTGTTTTAAAGCAGTTTTTCCTCCACACTCTTAAGCAATAGGAAGACCAAAGAAATACACAGAAAGTTTGAAACGTGTTGTTTATTCAGTTCTTTTTTTTTTTGAAGTTCTCAGTTTTAAGTATATTAAATGTAAACATTTTAGTCACTTCATACAAAGCTCTTTATAGTACAATTTGTTTTTACTGTATAATTAAATATTTTCAAAGTTCTGTTTTCCTTTGTAAATGAGTTGGTTTGGTAATTAAAAAAAACTGGTTATACCAAGTGCTCAGCTTCTGCAACCTCCTCGGCTTCATGACATCCCTCACCACAGGAAAAGGGACAAGGTAGGTTATTGGTTGCTTATCCTGGGTTTTTTGGGGGTATTTTCTGCTCCCTGTTGTTGGTGGCCACTATAAAATCTCAGGCACATCTGCCTCAGCAGGTTTTATGGCAGAGCTGTTGGGTTTTTAGGCAGAGGGGACAAGGGTCTGGATGCTTTTGGCTGAGCTGTGCTGCTAGTACAGCTTTCTCCAGGCCCAGCTGAGCTGCTGCAATACCAAAATGCAGGGGGGGAAAATACAAGATGAAATCTGGCTCTCACAAAACACCCAGTGTGAGCACTCACAAAAATACTCCTAAAAATCAGGTGAAGGCCCAAGTACAACATGAATATTTTTTGCTGCAATATTCAGTACATGATGGTTCTGAAACTGGACTGGAAAGTTCAGACCCCCAGATTACATTTCCCAGTTTCATATTTGCATGTGATTGGTACCCAGGAACTGCCTCAAGAGCTCAGGGATATTTGCATATCAGCTTCCACCCCCCCTCCCATTCAGCTACTTCAGATTTACTGTAAAAATAAACAGCCTGGGAATTTTGGGAGGAGCTCTCTGCCTTGCCCAGAGAAGAGCTCAGACTCAGCACACTGAGGCTCATCTTTAGGGCCTTGTTTATCCTGGATTCTGCCTGGGATCCCCACGTGCAGCAGGAGCTGCAGAGAGAAGAGCTTTGTGTGTCCTTGGCATTACTGCAGCAGCCCTTTCCCTCTCTCCCCCTTTTGGCTCCATTTCCCCTTGGAACAGCTCTTCTCATGCCTGTTGTGTCCAGAGAGCACAGTCTTGTTTACGTTTTTATTCCCCCTTGTAGCTTATGGAATTTATAAATCACATTTCAGCTCGCTTGGAGTTTTAAGAATTCATGCAGAGATTAAATCCTCTTTTGTTTTCTGAATTAGGTTTCTTTAGTTTTCCATCATTAATGACATTTCCTTCCTAGCTGCAGATTATTATCTGAGAACTACTCATGGAATCTGTTGCTCATAAGAGTTTAATATTAAAACCAGAAATAATATTGCTGTCTGAATCAAATTTTTGTGTTAAAAAAACAGGAGCTTCTGAATTACTTATGTTACAGACACAAGTTTTGATAGCCCAGCACAGGCAGAGCCTTAAAGAAGCTCCTTAAAAATGTTATTTATTTATTTATTTATTTATTAACACTTTTAGAGCCTCCAGCTCAAGCTCTCATGGAGCTGTTCTAGCATCACTGAATTCAAGGGAAGACATCCCAGTCATCCTCCCTGTCCCCAGACAGTGGCTTGTCTTGGCAAATGTTACCCTCTTGATTCCCAAAATGTTAACAAAGAGCTCTGAAATTCCAAACCTTAATTTGTTGATAGTTTAAGTCTCTTCTGTGCTTCAGGGAAGCACCTCCCTAATGGATTAACATGATACAGGTATAAAAAATGACTTCCTAAGGATGTAGATGGTGCTTAGTAAGAAACATTTAAAAAAAAACAAAGAAAACCTCAGATCTTCCCTGTTCCAGGCAAGTTCCTAGGCTGTGTTCAACTCTTCCAGGCATCCATCCAAGGTGAGGTACAAGAAAAAACCTATTACATTGCTAAATCACAGCTTTTTATCTCTCTCTCGATACCGGCATCCTGTGGTACCTTTTGTTTCTGCCTGCATTTTGATACTTTTGGTATTCCTGTTTTTCTTTAGATTCCCATCATGCACCACTGCCAGGAGTTCCCAGTCTTTTTGTACATTGTGACTCACTGGGGAATTCCTGGTCTTCAAGAGGGCTGGTGAGGCCTCAACTCTTGTTTCTAGGAAGCATCCCCAATGTTTTTAAATGAGAAAAACTTGGTTTTAAGTGCAGTTTTCCTCTGAAAATTTTTCCCCTTTGAAAAGCACTCTGAGAGACAAATTTGCTCATCTCTACTGCCACTGATCTAAAATAAGTCACTGTCTCAGGGAAACTTGCTGCAGGCACTCCCTGGCTTTTGGGATTTTCTGCATGAACTGCTCAGAAAAAGTTGGGAGTGGGTGTCAGATAACTCAGTGTTACCTGCATCCACACGAGGAAAGCTGTAGTATCCAATATAAAAAGAGTTTAAAATAAAATCTGGCTTGATGGAGGGTTATATACACTGGTTCCCCAAAATCTTTTTACGTGCAGAAGAAATAAAAGTAAGGCTAGACATTGAACCAACACTACCTGGTCCAGAGTGTGTAAAGTAGAGCCCAAGGGTATCCTTTGGCAGATCAACATGATCCAAATGTTCCAGGGACACCCCTGGCACCCAGGCTGTAACAATGCACAGTGTCTGGTCACCAGCTGCTGCCAAGGAGCTGCTGCTTCCTCATCCCAGCTCCAGAAGTTAATCAGCCAGGGTTGGAGGCCAGTCAACATCAACAGACTAGAAAAGCAGAGGGTGGGGGGAAAAAAGGCAGCAGAGTTGGTATTTCACAGATACCAAAAGGATCACAACACCTTTTGCTACTACTTGGCAGCATCACTCTCTGTTGGGCGTTTACAAAGGAGAGTAGCAGCAGGAAATGTATCCTGTGGTTTAGGAATGTTGATCGACTTACAGCAATTCCATGGAAAGCATCTCACAAGGGCAACTCCCTTAGTAATTTCCAGGAAAGACAAACAGCAACCAACTTACCTCTACATCCAGCTCCAGAATGTCAGCAGTTCTGTTCAGAAGGGACCCAATGTTGGGCTTTGTTCTCCCAAAGTCTCCATGCACAAACTCTTTAATGTAGCTGGAAAACATTGGCTAAGGAGAGGTGGATTCCACACCAAAGAAATCAAAAGGTACGGGGAAAAAAGTTGTTTCTTCTACTCCTAAGTAATTTCTTAGGTATGGGCTTAACAGGATATTAACTATATTTAGGAGAGCACCTAATTCCTGGCTTCTGACTCTGGTGCCAAAAACTGCACTGCTAACCTTAATTTGGTTTCATTCCAAACTGAGTAGTGACTTTTGGACAAAACTGTAAGTAGCAGCGATCTCCAGTCTGCACTGAAACACATCAAATATTGTGGAAAAAGTAATTTTTGGAGGTGAAAAGTTTCTAGTTAAATCAGAAAAAGCTGAAGTGCATTTTAATTTTTAGATCTGTCACACACTTTTAATGAAAACTCCAATGTGAAATGGTGACCTAAAAGCAAATACCGTGCAGCGACACCACCGCGGGAGGGCAGGGATTTCAAAACACCGCAACCACCCGAGCAGGAAACTTCCCCTTATCCCAACCAGTCCCAGCAGGAGGGTGCTGGTGACACCTGCCAGGTGCCAGGGCACCCCAAGGATACGTTCCTGCCTGAGTCTTGAGGTGCAGGCGGAAGTGATGCTCGTCGATGTACTCGGATTTCATGGTGTGGATGAGGCGACAGCGCACGGCCAGAGGCCGCCGGTGCAGCACCCGCAGAGGCGTCTTCTGGTCCAGCTTCAGCTCCTGCCACAAGGAGTGAACAAAAACGTGAGGAGGGAAGTGTGCAAGTGCTGCACGGATTGTAGGAATTGTGGGTGTTGGTAAGCAGTCCCATTCTTTTTCATCTTGTGTTCTGGTAGTTGAGTAATCTCAAGGCAAGACCGGTTTTTTCCAAGTTTATCGAAGGAAAAAGGACAGCCCTCTCAGAGGCCAAAGGAGGCCTCACATGAACACAAACTAATGGAATCACAAATACGGAGGAATAACCTTGAAATCTCCATAGCCCTTTGCTGGAATGACTCCAGGATTTAGCAGCTCGCTCAGAGCCTCAGGGCAATCAGAAAAAAAAAAATAAATCCCACCTACAAAATGCTTTGTCTAAACTACAGCCAACCCCCTAGAAATAAAAGTGAAGGGAAAAAAACCTTAAACGAGATTAGATCTCAGAACAATCTTTTCAAAAGTTCATTCCCAACTCCCTTTCCCCAAGGAGAGGCAGCAGTTTGAAAGGCAACTTCTCAGGAGCAAGGGAAGCTAAAGGAAGAACTTCCCAACAGTTCTCTGCCTGAGCTGTCATGGCTTGGAGAATGAGCTCATGGGCAAGTAGGAAATGGTGCAACACACCATAAACTGAACCCACTTCTCCATCAGGCCATCAGCGTCTGGAGAAAGTTCTCCTTCCTGCTGAGCCTTCCTGAGGCTTCTTTGCACTCTGACATAGACATTTTCACCTCCAAATTGCAGCTGTGGGAGAACGGCTTTAGAGCATAACAAAAGAGCTTTTCTGCTCCTTTCACTCACACAGGACACTATCTAAGGTAAAAAAGGGGTGCAGATGCCAGATTTCCTCCTCTCCCAGGATTTGGTCTCCTGGAAGGTGAACTTTACACAAGGACTTGTCTCTGTTAACAGCCAACCCCCCTGTCCTGCTGGAGTGACTGGTGAAGGAAGGAAGCGTGCTACAGAGCTCCCTGTATCAAGAGAAATCCTGATTGAAAAAAAAAACCAAACCAAAAACAAGCACAGATCGAGAGATATGCCCATGGATGGCCTGTATTTAACTCTTCCCTAGGGCACCAGGACATTTAAATGAGCAACAAGAGCTCCTGCTACCTTGATATCATCCAGAAACGCGATGTCTTCTCTCTGTATTGCTTTGTCTGTCCATATCAAGGCACTGTAGGTCTTTGTCTTCTCCTCCTCACCTTCCTTCATACGACCAATTGCCTCTCTAAACAAAAGAAATTAATTACTCACTTAACATAAGCATAATTATACAAGGCTGTGAGCAAGAACACTTCCCAACTCCCCGAGTGTCCCTTTTGAAATCCCTCGATAAACACTGACCTGGTGACGAGCTGCAAATCTCGAACCTGTATTTTGTCTGAAGAGTCATTAATTGCCTGTGATAGTTAAAAAGAAAGCAATCAGTTAGCAGAGCTGCTGGGCTGGAGAGGCAGTGCTTGAGGAGTTGTGTGAGGTGTCCGTGATTTACCTGCTGCAGCCTCCTCATCTCCTCCACGGTGAAACGAATCCTGCGAGGATTCACCAGCTCGATGGCAAAGGGCCTTCCTGGCAACGGGCACGGGCACAAAACATCAAAACATGTTGTTCTAAATTAATGCTGCATTTACACAGCAAGGCTGGAAGGTGTGAAGACTGTCTGCTCTTACACAAACAGGGAGAGGGCTGGCGGGCTGAGGGATGGAGCATCAGATGCAAGGGAAGAAACAAGGGACTTTTTTTTTTTTTGGCTACTAAACCCCAGTATCAGCAATAAGTGCAAATTATGACTTCCCAGAAGACATCTTGTACAAGTCTGTGCTAATTAAAAAATAAAATAAGAAAAAAAGCTAATTAGCTTATTTTCTGTCACCTACAGCAATGCCCAGGTGCACAGCAATGTTAAATCCCACTCCCTCAGCTCAACATCTGTTGCCAGAGTTGTAACTCTGTGCTCAGGGCCAGGACAATCCCCAGCACAAGCCATGCCAAGAATCACACTACAAATCAGACAGCTACTGAAACACAGAACTGTTCGTTTTTACTTTTTCTTTCCCTCCTCCCTTGGCTACAGCAGCTTCAGCACACTGGAAAGCAGCTGACCTTTGTAAGAGACTCAAGTTCAAAAAGAAAACAAAGCTCCCCCACTCCGCAGACACAATGAGGGAATTAGAAGGATCCAGCAGAAAATGAGAGGAATCAGTCTGACATAAATGGCTTAAAAATAGGGAGTGAATAAAATAAAATAGCTTTAGCTAAACTAACTATGCCTTTCCACGCAGCCAAGGCCACTGAAAAAGGGCTCCTCTTTCAAGCTGGTTTTATGAAGCTGTTTGGTCTTTGGGAATAAATATATAAATAAACTTCACTAAAATGCTTCTGAGATAAAATTCCAAAGCATGCCCAGTCACACACTTGGCTTTCAGCAGGATTAGAGGAGCTCCATGTACCCATTTCATCTTTATGTTTCACAAGGGGTCTTCCAAGCCTTACCATTGCCCAGTGTCCTTACATCCACATCTTCTCTTCCAGAGGAACTAAAATTAAAGCCTATAACAGATTTGAACAAGGCAGGTGAGCTTTTATTTTACATTTGTAATATTCTCTACAGCTTTTAAGAGGTCAAATATTTTGTTTCTAAACTTTTTGGCAAAATCTGCTTCAAATCTACTTTGTAAACTGGAGGCTGCACTTCACAAACTGTGGGAATTCCTGTTTATTCCCAAGTTTCTTGAAGGGCACTCCCAATTCCTTGGCCTTCTACCACCAGACTAACATATCACTGGGAGGAGAGGAGGGGGAAGTACCGGGGCTTTTTCCAAACTAATATTTAATGCAGTTTTCCCTTGGGCCTTCTATGTCTCTAATTCCACATCTGTTAGATGACAAATGATGGGCAGTGATTGTTTCATCTGGATAATCCCTGGATAAGCATTTTAGCTTGTGAAACTCTAGCCACTGAGGAAAATAAATGAATTGAGGTGAAAAACATGAGGGGGTCAAAAGCCAGGCAGATCCCATGAAATACCTGTGGCAAAAACCTTCTTGGTACAAGTCATTTTATGAGTTACCAAGTTTGGTTAAGCAAAAACACTACCACATGAAACCAACATATTTGCATCATCATATCCACTGAGGAGCTACTTTAGCAGGATAAAAGGATCTAATTACTCCCAGATCACAGCTAAATAAAATTTACAAGCCTTAACTTGGAAGGAAACAAGAGGGATAAAGAAACATCATTTTGTTCCATTATACTCCCATATTGAGTGGGTGGCTACCAAGAAAAAATCTTCTAGTAGTGATGGAAGATATGTGTGGTAGGAGATCTCCTAAATACTCACTGTCTGCCTTGAATTCTGCCATTAGATGCTCTGAAATTAATTCTTCCACTGAAGATTCCAGCTTCCTCTCCCCATCAATAATCCAGGGAGTCTGAGGTAAATTCCTGGAATATTTGTTGTATCTTCCTGTAAAAGACAACCAAGGTACTTCTAATCATTCTACAGCCATGAGTGGAAGCTGCAGCCTTGCACAGCACACTGAATTTCCATGGGAGCTTTGTTCAGACAAACTGACAGGCTCCAGCTTGTTCTATGGCAGGAGCATTACACCAGCACTGTGGATCACACGTGGCTACATCCAGGAGAGTGGCAGTAGCCAGGATGGCCACTTAGGCTGGACTTAAGAGAGCCTGTGGCTGCAGCCCTGCCCCCAGGAATAACCCTCCTGTGTGAAATAATCCCAGTTCCAAGCCAGTTCTGCCATTGCCTGAGGCCTTAAGGAAACAAACCTGAACTAAAATGCTTTGGCTCACTGTGAGGAACACCATGCAAGGAGTAAGAAGTCCCAATAATAAATTAGGAGGAAGGGCAGGAATCTTGAGAAGGTGTCATGTAAAGAGATTGGCATCTTTGGATGGTCCCAGTGATGTTTTCATGGCACCTCCATGACAGGCTATCACCAAAGACCAAGCCTGACATGGATGACCAGTATGAACTTTTTTATGGACAGGTAAGATAAGAACTGAAAATATTCCCAAAGCAAGGAAATAATTCATAAAGGCCCAGGAGCAACCCCCTGCTTAAAGTGCTTTCAACCTGAAAGCTTGCAAAATAGAAAATAAAAATAGTTCAGAGTAGCTCTGTGCATTACTTTGGGCCTCTAACATCTCAGGGATTTGGGGTTTTGTATCATATTTTCCTATCTTGAACAATGTTTCCTTTTTGCAGTTTCAGCAGCAGAAAAAGCCACACAAACAAATGGGGAAACTGAGTAACACAGTCTCACTGGGGCAAATAATGAAAGTAGGATGACTCATCATTCAGATACAGCCTCACACTGCTAAATTCTCCTTCCATAAAATGGAAAAAGAAGAATTAGGTTTGCTTTTTTGCTTTTTTTTTTTCTTTCAGCTTCTCATTCTAATAATTTTAATTTTTGATCTGAAGAAGAGTAGGTTTAAAAAAACAGAAGGTGTTTGTTTCTTGGTTTGACAGTTCCTGAATCCTTAAAAAAGGTTGAGGTGGGAAGTGATTCTTAAACACCAAAGTCAAGAGAGCAATGTTGTTCTTACAAATTAAGATCCCATCTCATTTATTAAAAGCAAAATATCTGCACTGTACTCAACAAATTCTATTCTGGATTTAGTTCTTGAAAGAATAAACACCTGCCTGGACTGGATTTTTTTGTTGGAGCAAGATATAAACTACAAATGCCAAGACCAGTATTACATGACAGGCAGAAAGCAAACTCTCTGTTTTGTTCTTCATACTATTGAATTCTGATAAAACTATCCAATAAAACAACTTAAAATAAAACAGTGTGTTTGGAAGAGCCTAAAAGGAACTGGATATCTTGGATTCACAAAAATGTACATCTACCTGTCTAATCAGTAATTAAAAATAAGGAATGGTTATATGTAGAACATCAACTACCCTGCCAGTCACTCTCACAGATTTTTCATTTTCTATTTCTTTCTATTCAGGATTTTTATCATCACAGTATGTTGGATTTAAATTACAATTTGGGTTCTTTTTAATAATAATCAGTTTGCATGTATTTAAATAAGTTGTTCATACAAAGGACTAGAAGAATGGCAGATACAAAAGTTAAATCATCTCAACTCAGGGACTCAAGTGTTGCTGCACTACCTGTCTCACCCAAGCCTTTATAAATCCCATTAATATTTGCAGTTTTGGATGGGATAATATGCAGAGAAATCCAGATGGTGAAAAATTCTGAATCCAAATCAAAACTCATGGAAGTGAACAGCACTGCTGAGAGCTTGCTGGTGTGGAAGTGCCTGTCCCAAACCATTATTCTGAGGGAATCTGAAACTTCTAACTTTTGACAATATCTTCAGCAAAGGTCAAAAATAATTTCTTCCCCTTTCAAACCACTCTTGGGTAGAGCTGGATTTGTTTCTTTGCTCCTTACACTTCATTACAGGAATTAACACACATCAAGAATCCTCTGGGTCTCAGGGCAGTGTTACAAAGTTCTCTTCAAGACAACACAGCAGCAAAGAAATGGATCACTTTACCAGCCACAAAAACTGCACCATTATTGCACTGAATTTCCAGAGCATCACAGAGGGTCTTTGGTGAACTTGGGGGACATGGAAAATGCCTGTATTAAAAGTAAAAAGAGAGTAAAACATATTATCACTACTAGAACATGCTGGAGCATCACCAGAGCAGTAAAAAGTGCCCATTTTTGGCTTTCCACCGTGTATGATTTTTACCACATTAACAGCACTTGGTCTTTTCTTAAAACTAAACTCCTATTGTCTTATAAATTCTAAAGTTCAAAATAATCCTTTTAATTAAAAATCAGGAAATTTTCCATTGCCAGAAAGAAAAAAATGTTTTAACCAGTAAACCAACAGAATTTAAACAATCAAAAGTTCTTTTAAAGCTACCCTATCACTACATACCACTGAATATTTTCCTCCCCTCCCTAATTCTATACAAATGCACGATACTAAGAAATAGTTTCAGTATATACTTACTTGAGAAAATCCTCTTCTTTTATCTTCTCCAGGGCTTTTATAACTGCCATTCTGGTGAAAACAGACTGCAGAGCGAAATAAAAAAATGAGTCAAGAACTAAGAAAAGCAAAAAAAGGATATACCTGAGGAAGAAAAAAAGCACTGAAACTTACACTGTGCACTTCTGTCACTGCTCACTTGGGAGCTCAGGTCTACATTTGCAGAACAGTTTAAAACCAGAATCCTAAATCCATGAACAGAAATCCAAACCAGGAGTTAAAGATACCTAAGCCCAGCTTTTATGTCAGTGACAGCAGGCAGGTAGTTCTGCTGAAATTAAGCCTGTTGAGTAGGAATGTGTTCCTGAAGTTCAAAAATTGTCTGATTCTCACAACTAAAAGCTCTGAATGGTGGGGCTGGGCAGTTCCTCCCTGTGGGAAGCAGGCAGCTTCCCTCTCCCAAAAAGCAGCAATGCCAGTGCAGCAGGAGCACAGTGCTAAGCTCTGGGCACAGCCAGCTGCTGCTGGGGTGGCTCCAGTGAGAATTTACATTCCTGGGACAGGAGGAACAAGTCCTGTAACAGCTGAGGTGAAATCCTGCTCTAGGAAGGCTGAGGACAGGGGAAGGTCTCTAAATGAACCTTCTAATCAAGCTTCTTTCAATCATGGTGATTGAAATGCACCTATTATGGAGCCTGCACTGTCTCCCTCCACAGCTTGCTCCCCTCTCAGTTTCCTCAAGGTAAAATGTTTTTTCTTGCATCTCCTCTGAACTTCTCATGTCAACATATTCCTGCTGTGTCTCATCCTTCCACCAAGCTGTGTGCAGGCCAGCCTGGCTCCCTGCTCTCAATCATCTCCTTTGGCACTAGGAGGAGTTTCAGCTGGATCCTCCCCAAAGCCTTCACCAAGAACCTTGAACAAGTCCAGGTTCCTCAGCCTGCCCTCCCAAGCATTTGCTCCAGCCCTTGGGATTGCCCTTGATGGCTGTCTGCTGAATTTCCAGTTTAATGGTGTCCTTTTTGCAAACTGGATTGGGGATTTGAGAAAAAAAAAAAATACTGGGTCACTGTTTGGGACAACCCAAGTTTTGACTCTAAAGAGTTCCTGGGTGTCTTCAGGAAAGCTGCTCTTTCTCCTTCTAAGCATAAATTAGAGATAATAGCAGTTCCCTTCCTCATAGAACAGATGAGCAGGAAAGCCCTGAAAGCAGCAGCAGGTTTAAGTAACTATCTACACAGACAGCACAGAAATTTTCCCTCAGAAGCCAGTTTTTACACCACTTCTCTGATTAACACAGCCCTTGAAGCCCAGCTTCTTTGTGAGGACAAACCTCTGACAGCTCTTCAGAGCTGCTATTTTTCTTTAGATTCCCCTACATTTTGTTGCCTGTGTGGATTTAACAGCCAGGCCCTGCTGGTTCAGCTCCTTATGTGGGATTTCCCCACTTTTAAAGGCCAGCAATGCAGCAAGCAGTGAGTTACAACAATACAACCCTGCTAAAAAAAGAGTGGCCTTTATTGGTCAGGTGGAGTAGAGTCAGCAGAATTCCTGGGCCAGACTCTGCCTCTGCCAAACGTTGGCAGGTTCTTCATCAGAAAGAATAAAAGGCCTTGCAATGGCTTCTGACAGGAGTTACTTGCTCTCCCTCTGATCACATCAACTGTCCCACTTGTATCAGTTTCCCTCCAACTGTTTTTTTATCCTCACGTGTCCCCTTTTCTGTCAGTGGTTGTGTGTGTGCTCAGGGTATGCAACAAGTGGCAAGGTCCCTTTTTTTCCCCCTCTCCTTTCCTCCAGAGGCAGACAGGATAAAACCATCCTGCATGTATCCTGGCTTTCATTCAGATCAGAGCACATGAAAACTGCAGTGTGATCATTTCCCTTTTGGCTGCCGAGTCTCATCTTCACAATGTGACTTACCTGAACTGCTTCACCCACAGAGAGCTTGAGGATCATCTTTTATGCTACTTTTAATGCATGACAATCAAATTCCTAGATCTTAAGGGAGGTATTTACAGAGAACCTTCCTAAAATTATGGCCTTTAGACAGCCTGGAAAAAGAAAATGCTTTTCTTTTCACCTAAAGAACAGCACCAAACTCTTGGTTTTCCTCAGCTGGGAATTGTGAAGTGAATAAAGGAGACAACTTTATTTTCAGACAATTGAAAACTAGAGAGCTTTTTGATGAAGGAAAAGCAGACATTGAGCATTGACTGAATACCCAGGTAAGTTGTAGCTACTGCTGTGAAATTCTGAATATCAGAGCAGAAATAAAGTGATGAGATTCTTACCTGTTTGTTCTTTGCCGGTTTGAAACAGTCTGGGCAGGCTGTGGCTCTAAACACAGAAATTAAAATTAGCTGCTCCTTTATAGAGAAAGAAATAAACAGACAGACTCACAAGCAAAGCATGTAAATGGTTTTTGTACCCATACATCCAGTGTCTCACTTCCACAGCTTAGCTCAGAGCAGATTTTCCAATTCCCTTTATCCTAAACCATGAATGGTGCAAGATGTGCATCACTTGATCCAGAGAAATCATGGCCAAAGCTCTGCTCTCCTCTGCCCAACACCACGCCTCAGATTTGATAGAGGATGGAAAAGCACACAGGTTTAGCTTTCACTCCTTTCCAATCTTTCTCAATAAAGGTCATGATTAGTATTTTAAGTTCTAGGCAAGATTTGCTGACATCTTGAAATCTGTACTTGGTGCTCTTAGACAACACCCACTACAAACCTGAGATTCGAATTGTCCCTTTTGGAGAGGAAAATTCAATTTCCCACTGAAAAAGTAACCCCAGGTGTTCATCACCACTTGTGCTTTGCCTGTTCAAAAGGAAACTATTGGCTGTTTCACAAAAGTGAAAGCCAAGTCAGTGAAACACTTTTTCTGAGCAGTGTAGAGGAAGTTGCTGTTCCTATTAGTGCATTTCTATGTAAGCAGTCAGAGATGATTTCTGGATTTCTGTGTATGCAGCCAGAGATATTTCTGACCTCCAACCCCCATTTATCATTTCTTGCTGGTGCTTTTCAACACCTCTGGAACTCCCTGACACTCTAAGGAAGCAGGTTTTGCTGTTTCCATACAAGCAACTTCCCTGGCCAGTCTGTGACCCAAAGCAATGCAATTTCACTCCCTCTTCCAAAATTTCAGTATCACCTTACCCTTAAATATGAATTGACAAAAGCCAATTCAATCTTCCATGTCAAACCATGGGTCATTTCAGCACACCCACCTCCACACAACTGTGTGAGAGCAGGTGAGAATCTGCAGATGCCATGCTTGGAAACCCAATCCAAGTCCTGCTTTGCTTCCACAGAAACCATGACTGTCACTGCTACTGTGATAATCCTCAAATTTACCATATTTACATGAAAACCAAAGCACTGCCTCAGAATGTGCCCAGAGCCAACCACTCACACAAGCCTTGGCACCTCAGGAACTACTGTGTAATTAAATTAGGTGATGTGCTGTTACTTCAGAAAGTGTCTCAAACCTTAATTGCTGTTTAAAGAGAAGGCAAATAAAAGGATATTGTCAGGTCAGGTGGAATAAACCTGAGTAATTGGAATGTGGAATGGAACTTCTTTTCAGCTTTCACCTCTACAACTGCTCTCCTTGGAGCACTAACACTGACACAATAACATGTTCAACAGCAATATTCCTGAAATGCCAGAAAAAGGATGGAAGGATGAGAGGAAAATACCAGTGAAGAGGTTTCAGATGAAGGAAGTAAAATTAAATAAATTAGAACGAAAGGGTGCAGGATGCAGAAACACTTCAGTTCTTTACAGGATTGCAGGAACCATTATCTAGAACTGTAGTATGGCCCTGCAATTTTCTGCCTCTTTTACCCAGTCTTGAAGAAGCTGGAAAGAAAAGATGTTCAGCAAACAGTGGTAATAATTTTTCCTAATCCTGGTTCCTTCCCAAACTTCCATTCCCTCATCCCCCACGTCAAGACAAACAAAAGATGCAATTGTGGAAAACCAAGAAGGTGGTGGATTGAGCACTCAAATATCACAAATTGCCAGAAGAAAGATCAGGAAATAAATAAAGGCTGCAAGGGAAATCTCCAGTCTCAAGAAATGAATTCACATTTCAACAGAGACATCTCTGCTGAGCCTCCTTCTATGCTAAGATTTAACTTGCAGTAGGTGCAAATTCACTGAGTGAAACTTTAGGTTTTCCAGGAAGCGTCAACAAACAGGAAGAGTGACCCTAATTTTCCAGAATATACTACAGCTAGATTTTGAGAAATCAGATTAAATGGCAGCTAAATTCACAGAACTATTTTGCTCCCTTGTGTACAGCAGGTGCCCTACTGGGCCAGGCCAGAGGCTGTGTAGTGACCAGGGAATTTCTGTTTGTTTTCATCAACCAGCTACGTTGGATTAACTCACTTCAAAGTTCTTCCTCCTGTCCACGTGTCCTATAGGAGCAGGAAAGCTTAGAAATGACCTCAAAATATTCCCCCACCTGTAATTACATGGTTTGAATCTTTAAAAATGATACAGGGAGTGACTTGGAGGAGGGCTAAAATTGAAAAAATTATCTGAATGCTCTCCTTCCAGTCAAACCAGAATTCTGGATGATTGTTTTATTGGCATTAAAGAGCAGAATTAACCAGAGATGGTATAACTTCAAGCTCTGCAACTGCATGTGGATATGAGGAAATCTAGATGCAGGCCACATTCTGGTTTATAAACACTGCTTATTGTGTTCTGTAACAAATCTAAACCAACGATGTTGCACAACATTTAGATAAAGATCTTTTGTTACTTGTAGAAAAACTTACAGGAAATGGCACTCCTCGTCTGTTTCTGGGTGAGCAAAGACCACGCTAACTTCAAACAGACTCTAAATTTAAAAAAAAAAAAAAGAAAAAATAACAAGGAGGTGTAATAGTTTTTTAAACAACCAAGGAGGATATTCTCAAGCACCTGTATTGCAGTTTTAGGAAAAGAGTAGAGACAAAAGAGGGAATAACCCATTTATTTACGTTTAAAGACATTAAAAGGTGTGCCAGAGCAGCATTTGCCTTTCTGAAGTCACCAACGATGATGTGAGAGCACTTCAGAGCCATGAGTGACCTGCACTGGTCCCATCCTGTGCAGGGCTGAGGCAGAGGCAGCCAAGGCTCAAAGCCTATTAGGGTCACTAAACCCCAGAGCCCTCCCAGGGGTGCAATAAAGATAAAAACCCTGCAGTAGTCACCACTGTAAAATTTTGTCAGGGGCTTCCTTTGCAACGCCTGCATGGCCTTGGGGCAGAGAAAGGCAACACGTCCTGGTGGATTGACAGCTAGCCCAGGAACTCCAGTGTAATCTCCATTCTTCCCCCAATTCCCTCTCTGGCCTTGGGCAAACAACACTCATTACTTCTGATACTCAGATACCCGACACCTCAAGAGGGCTATTGAAAAGATTGGCTAATATTCAAGTGCTTTATAGATAAAGGGCACTAGAAAAACAACTTTTGTGGTACAGAGATGTCTGGAGTGGCCAAGTGCTGTGGAGCTTTTGCTAACTTGGTGTGTAAAAAGTTTGTTTCTTCCTGGATCATCTTCAGAGTAACTGAGTGGGTTTTTTCTTCACTGAGACAAAAGAGATGCTTTCAATTAGCACTCCTGGGAAAACAACAGCCTGTAATTATTATGGAAGCTGACAAATCAACAAAAAGACTAAGTGAATCTAGTCCTGGGGTCAGTGCTATGGCTGGTGACAAGTAAAACCTACGGGCAGCCACAACTGCAGAAAATTTCCATTCAATCAGCTTCTGAATTTGAACACCTGATTACCATGTTCAGTCAATGCCTTTCAGAAAGATTTTAAGGATATTAATCAGAATCTGCAAGTTGAAAAAAACATTTCTACTGCCTACTTAGGGATACTGCAGGTCCCAACAAACCTATTTCTAGTGTTCATTAAAGTGAACAAGGACCAGTCTTTTCTCTTTCAGTACATTTCAGAAATTTATTTTATCTACAGAACCTGAACAACTGAGCTCCCAGAGCAGCAGCAAGCGTTGGCAGTGACAGGAGTGCAGGGAAGGAATGTGTGAGCATTCCACAGCCTCTGCAAAACAGGGAACCTGGAACAGGACACAACTGGGAAAGTCTCATTAACAAAAGGAGGATTGGCAGCACAAGAGATTAAGCACAAGCCTGTGGTGGTCTCAGAAGATGCAATGATCTGTGTGTACAAAAATGAACATTGTGCCCCTCAGGACTCTCACTTGGAGATCTCTGGTTAAAAGAACTTCCCCAGTGCTCTTCCCTACAGTGAATTTAGGAGCCACTCAATTTGTTTCTCTCTTAATAAGGAAAAAAGGATCGATTTTTATTTCCCTGCCATGTGTATAAGTGTATAAATACACACAGACAAACACGTATGAAAAAAGAATGAAGAAACAAAGAAAAAAAAAGTTCTGTTATTTATACAAGACCTTTCCATCAGCAGGAACACCCAACTCTTCAGACAACTGGGGATGAATAATCCACTTATAAGCTTCTTTCAGCTGAACGATGTCATCCTTAGCCAAGGGAAGGCCCAGATTTCTGAATCACAAAGAAATAATTACTTGCATAGGGGTCTGTCAAAAATAGATACATGACACACAACATTTCAAGAGGAACTTAAGTAACTTATGCCAAGTAAAACAGATTAATTTTTTTTTTCTGTGCACTGAGGAAACTGGTGCCAGAGCTTCCTGGGAGATCAAAAATTGCAAGCGTCTTTCCAGAGCCCGCCCAAAGAAAAGCTGAGGAAGAGAGAGATGCATTTCAAACCACTTGTTTGGGAACTCAGAGAGCAAAAGAGATAAGAAACCCCAAGGAAGGTCAAACCAGGTAAAAAAAAAAAAAGAAAAAAACAAAACACACAAAACCCAGCTGCCACCTTATTCTTTGTAAGCTTCAGGTAAACTAGACCATAAAATCAACATTTATATAGAGAAATGGTGTCTGTAGGAAGAGTTCTTGGCAGACAGACAGACAGACAGCAAAAGCAATGGCTCACCTCATCTGCTGCTTCACCCCCAGCCAAGCAGCACGCTGCAGGTCACCAGCCACGCCCGGGGAAAAGAAAGGAAAAAACAAAAACAAGTGAAATTAAAGCTCAGAACTCCCAACAATCTGAGAGACTCTCTGCAAAAGGAGAAGTGTATTTAAAACTCATGACAAAAAAGAGTATCAAAGTATCAAGAATTTAGCTTTGGTTCAGAAGTGGAAAGATGGAATTGCTGTGAGTTTTTCTTTCTAGCACATCACTTTGCTCTTCACATCAAATCCTATCTGGCATAAAAAAAAAAAAGAAAGAGGCATCATTAAACACTTTGAAACTTGCTATTAATACTATAAGTACAAAAAGACTCTAAGTCAGCAGTTATCTTGTATATAGACATTTTTAAAAGTCTCTAAATAAATGGTGTATGAAAGCTGACTGACATAAATAAATAAAACTCCAAATTCAGTTATCATCCATTATTAAAAATTTAAATTAAAAACATACTCGGTCTTATGGTAATCATAGGATTGACCCCTTATTTAAAACACACCACTTAGCTTAGGTGAATAGGCTAAATATGGGAAAGGTGAGGAACAGAAGGAATAATTCTAGAAATCAAAGGGAGCTTTTAGTATAAATTCAATTTAGTATAAATTCAAGTCAACTAACAATTAGTAAAAAGAGAAAAACTCCCCTCAAAACTTCCTACAATAAAGCACAACAGTTTCAGCTGTCCTCTACTAGCAACAACTACCAAATATATTAGGAGTGATAAGAAATCACTTAACTAATCCAGCCTGTGTCACCATCCTCACTGAAGATGAATTCCAAAAATCAAGTTGTTTGATTTGAATGCACCACAACGAAACAGTTTTCAGTCTGTAGGCTGCAGACTTTTATTTTTCATATACTTAAAGAATAACCTCCCCCAAACTCTGCTGAAAGAATCACTTGTCAAAGAAATAATTCTAAGGAAGAGGTTTGAAAACAGGTCTCAAACTCCAGGAAGCAGGGCCAGGATCACATGGATATCAGAAGGAACCACGTCATAGATCCCTTTTCCATGCTGATAAGGAACTCAATCAACAAATTAAGTCTATTATCCTTCATTTGGTACATCTAAACAATGAGGGAACTCTAAAAACAGCGCTAGAAATTAGGAGGGAAGAGGGATGGTGGAGAGAGGACACAAACTTTGTTAGATCTGTGATACACAAACCCACACACACTGCTGAACAAAACAAATGCAGTTGTAGTGATGAAATCCTGTTTGCTCAAATCCACTGTGATTCATTAGCCTGCATTTGAAGACTGTATGAGTAAGGCTGCTTCACTTGAAGTATATTGTAATCCTGTTTGCATAATAACCCAGATAAAATCATGAATAAAAATAGCTTCGGTTGAAATTCCTTGAGCGTAGCTCTGAACTAGAGGATGTGACAACCACTGAACTGGGCCTAGGAAGCTGCATTTGACAAATGCCAATTTACAAAGAAACCCCTCTCATGCCTTGATTTAGAGCACATTCAGGTTTGGGATGTTTGGGACTCAGGAGGAGGCTAATCTCACTCTTCTTCCCTGTTTTCTTGGGATAGAACTACAAAATAGACAAAATTTCTGCACGGGAGCAGCTATGCTAAAATGAGACCCCAGGTCACATTTCATGTCCTCTCTCTCTTGACTTCCAAGTTGAAAGAGAATTAAAGAAACTACTTTTCCCCTTCAATTAAGGGGAAACAATAGATGAGGGTACTGCAAGCACAGAAGCCAAAAGATCCCAAATTCCAAATTGTATTCAACCACCAAGCCAGCCAAACCCCTCTACTCTCTCCCAGCTGAACACGGAGCAGGGGATCAGATCCCTCTACTTGGTAATTACTTTTTTTTTAAATGTTTGTGGAGTGGTTTGAAAATGAAAAATGCTCATTACAGAGCTGAAGCCTGCAGGGCAATGCTCAGCAGCAAACACATCTCTGGAACACACCAGCCCAGGCACTGTATTGATTAGGAGCTGCAGGATATTATTCTGCTGCTATCTGAGGGAGCACAGTGGCAACAGTTGAAATACCATGTGCAATCCCAGCCACAGCATTGTTCCAGTGCATCAGAAAAGAGCTTAGAGATGGGGAATTCCAGGATGAGGCACAGGCAGCCCTACAGGGAGTAATGACTACAGATGTTATTTGCATCAATGTCCTTGCAGCAAGCACCAGGATGATGGATCACGACTGAGACCACAGGCAGAGCTGGCAGTCACCCTTCTGAAGGGCACCACTCACTTCATATTCCAATGGAGCTGTCTGACATAAACTTGGGACTCCTGGATTTATGATTTATTTCAATCAAATCTCCTACTTGTGGAAGCAGGCAATTGCTTCCTTGCATCACAGATACAAATACTATGCAAATGTAGATTTTATGCCTCGCTCTTCTCCAGCTCCTCTCGTACATTTTGGACTTGTCAGGATGACAACTGTCATAATTAAATGAGATTAAGGTAATACTGAAAGGCAGTTTCTGATTTTTTTGTTTTGTTTTGGTTTTGTTGCTTTTTTTTTTTTGTTTTGTTAAAAAAGGATGATGGAGAAAATCTGTGTGTCACACCAGAGGGCAGTGGGAGAGAGGCTGCCTTTGGGTGTTCTTTGATGATAGGATTCCACATGTTCTTGTACACAGCAGGTCAAAGAATGAAAAGCAGAATTTAACAAACTACCTCTTTTCAGTACAAACCATGTTGAGATATTCTGATATCTGATTGTGATATTTTCAGACATTTTTACATACTGTATTGTTGCTTTCCTGTGCCTCTAAAACAGGTTCTCACCTATTTTTTTTTTTTTTAAGTGATAAACGGATAGGAGGTAAACAAAGCCCCATGACTTTTAAAGTTCTTCCTCCACCATCACCCCTTTCCACCCCTGCAGTTGGAGCAAACAGCAGCTTCAGCATTTCAAATGCTTTAGCATTTCACACGACCGGAGCGATGCATTAGAAGGGACAGCAGAAACTCCTTAATCCAAACCTTCTCCCAGCCGAAACAAAAGCGCTTCCAAAGGGAACAGATCCAGTTTTGGAGCTTCCTACCGACTCCTTTCACTCCATCTCTGGATCCGCGGTCCCACAGAAGAGCTCTGCCCGTCCTGGCTGTCCCCAGCACTGTGGCTGGGCTGGAACGCGAGCCCCGGGCAGCGCGACATCCCTGGCCCAAACTGCGCTGCAACACCGCCCTCTACCGGGCCTTCCTGCAAACAGCAGCTGCTCGGCATCACCGCCGCTCGCACCGGGCTTAACGCGGCAGCAGGACTTGGTAAAGCCTGACTCGGGGTTTGCCACGGCATCACAGGCATCCATCCCAACACTCACCTAGCCTGAAAGGGCTTCTTGGCAGACCGCATTTTTTGGAGGCATCAGAAAGGACAAACACACCAACTATGCTCAAATTAAGATGGAAAGTAGAGAATCTTAAAGTTCCAGAAGACTTAGGAGTAGAATATTTGTTAGCTATCACAGTGGCACTTTGCCCAAGCTGCCACAAATAACAGCACAAATCACCACTACACGTGCAGTAGATTATTTACCAGATTGTGTGGGAGCAGAACAGACCTCGCCACAGCTTTACACAGAAATCCAACACCATCTACACTTCTTTCTGCCACGTTCACTGAAGCCTCCACCACATCAGGCATCTCTTGTACAGATTTACACGTTGCCCTTTAAAACGCCATTTTTGCATCACTTTTAGAACAGTACTTTTGCATCATTTTATATCAGAAAGCAGAGGAAGATTGCAAAATATCTCACAACTGTCTTTTTCCCATCATTTAAAATGCTGAACACTTCAAGAGTTCATCCTCAAATTCCTTAATTTGCATTCTGCACTACCAATTATCATTTATCCCTGGAAAGGCACCAGCTGTGCAGTTCTGTCTCTGAGAAGATCCACAAAGCAGGGCTGGCATCTGCACCAAAGGGAACAATTCACTGAGGGTTTCAACAAACTCCTTTTAGGTTTTCAGATGGGAAGTAACTCCTGGGCTAACTGAAAACTGAAGTGACTCAGGCCCTTTATTAATTACAATAATACTGACTCACAAGGAAAGGGAGAGCAGACTTCACTTCCAGCATGGGCTTTGGGGTTTTTTTAAACAATAACAATTAAAAATCAAACCACCTCCAGCTCATAGTTTCCACAGTTACTTTCTTAAATATGTATTTAATTAAGTTATTATTTAAGTTACTTACCTCCCTGACAGACAGCTGTGGGGGTAGTGACACAGAAAATACAAAACTGGTGAACTGGTAGTCAGCAGAATTAACTTTTTGGCACACCTGTAAGAGAAGCAGCTTAATATGAAACCACAGCAATGGGACTGAGCTGATAAGTTTTGTTCTAGAATAATCACTGTGAATTCATGTTAACACACACTCAGAGAGATGCCCAACATACAAACCAGAGTAATCACTAACAGCTTCTTGAAATGTAAGCTTTTCTGTCCTGTTAAAAAAAGTTACTAATCAATAGTATCCTGGGTGACATGAAACAATCAAACTCACTATTGTAAGGCCAGGACCAACTGTATATTGAAATTTTAGGTGAAATCAGCATCTCAGATAAGGACATTTATGTATCAAATAATTAGGTTTTGTGGTGCCTTAACAAGTGCTGTCAGATTTTCCAAGTCTCAGCAGTGGATTCTGTAAAAAGATACATATTCTGCCCATGGAAACAAAAAAGAAACAATTATGTTCTGCAACAACAGAAACTATATACTATGCTTTCTGTCTAGTCCCATTTTTGATACATTCATGCAATTAAATCAAATCCTTTTCTATCAAAACTCTTGTTAAATATCTCAGATGCCAGTGTGAGTTTTCTAGCTGATATTTCAGTTTGTCACACGAGCAATACGATTGCTCAGAGATGGCATTTGCAACACTGTGTGCCCACATTCTCTCCTAACTCACGTCCTCTCTATCATCCAAAATCTGTTACATCACCAAAACATTTTCTCCCCCTTCATAAAGACAGGTTCATGCTGTATTAGAAACATGAAGTTCAGAGAACAGCATTTGATGACTCCTCGTTTTCCTGTCACATAAAAAAGTGAAGAGAGGTCGCCAGCTCCACTGAGGTTTTCCTTGAAAGCAGCTGAACCTCAGGTCATCTCCTAAATTCGTGTAACCACATAGCTGCTAGCCCTTTCCTTAGGAAAGTGTGCTCCCTGCAGTCATTCCATTGCACCTGCACTGCTATTAAAAAAAAAAAGAAGTGCCACTATGACAAAGCCCGGGCAAAATTCGGTCCCACCACAGATGCAACAAAAAACTGCACGGTGTTTTCAGTCACCAGCTCTACCCTGTAGGCCCCAACACACACAAGCTCCAAAAAAGCACCCCAAAAGGCTAAAAATGTACCTTTTTAACAAAGTCAGGCTCACAGAACTCCTGCAGAATTCCCAAACACACGTTGCAAACCTTCTCAGCCGGGCTCTCCGTGGCAGAATTCCCATCGTCAGCAGAGGGAATGGCTCCGTTGTGGTTCAGATCATCAGCTCCTTCTTCCCCACGTTCAAGCCTGAGTCTCTTACAAGGTGGGTCAGCCACATCCAAACAGACTGTGTCTTCTTTTTCCTGACTGTTCTTCAGAAATTCCTGCAAATCCTTCATCAAATCCTAACACAAACAGAGGAATCACACCCTGGTTGTTTGTTCCTCTTTAACAAACACAATTCCATAAGGCAGTACTGTTCCAGGTCAGGCTTAGCAATTAACAGCATGGAATTTATGCCCAAAGACATCTTTAAGACACTATTGAATAGCTCCAAGCTGCATTTCTCTCAAAATAGAAATTTCCAGAGAAAATATTGCTGAATAGACTTGTTAATCATCCAAGAACGAAAACATTTTCCAGACCTGGCTGGCAGAAATACATTTATTTTTGCCCCATCACTATTCCATGAAAAAAGACATTTAGTTCTTTCTTGTCATTTAGATTATGTTAGAATTTAATTCCTTCAACTCCCCTAGCCCAGTTGGCTACTATAATAAAAAGAAAAGAGAGCAGAACAGAGAGGTGGGGGTGAAATTAAACACACAGAGTAAGAATTTTGTATCAGGAGAGAAGCCTGCAAAAATAAAGAATTACCTGCATGTCTCTGATTCCTGGAAGGATGAGAGACAAGACACAGTTCAGGAAGAAGGATTCACTATAAGGTTTTCAGTAAGGAAGACAGCAATTACTGTGTTGTTGCAACTCGGAGGAAAATCGGGTAGAGATGCAAAAGGACAAAAAACAGCACAACGAACGAACAGTCCTCAAATAATTGATAAAAAATGAAAAAGGATGGGGAAGAAAGATGTTGAAAATGAATTGTGGAGAGTCTAAACTTGAGCAAAGGTGAACAATCAAGGCAGACACCAGCAGACACAAGCATAAAGACAGGGGATTAGAGCAAGCTAAGAAGTATGTCTAATAACACTATGCTTCTCTGATTTATTCTTAACCTTTGCTCTGCAATTCTTCAGTGGCATTCCCCTACCAATTCTGCAATTTCAGGTAAATTTCCTTTACATTAAAGGAAAAGGCACAGCTTAACATAACTCCTTTTCCTTTCAGGCCAAGAGCCTGAGCACACAACAAAGGACCAACCTTGTGTGGATGTCTGTAGAGCATCTGTGATCCCACGCAGCAGAACCTCAAAATACATCGTGGGCAAGTGCCAGTGCTGAGCAAGAGCTGAACAATTGGTCTGTCCTTCTCTGACAGTGAAGACATGCTGGGCAAATCTAAAATTCAACACAGAGAAGTAAAAGGAAAAGCTGAGACCGAACACAGTTCAGCAATTCAATAATTAAAAGTCTCAGCTGAGACTTAACTGCACTGTATTTAGAGTAACTGGAATTTTTTTTTATCCTTTAGAGAAAATTTGGGAGACACATTCGTTTTAAATCACAGGCACAAGAGAAGAGGAAGACCAACTCAAAAAGTCCACTGACTGGAGGAAAAGCTTCCCTGTTTCTTAGGTTTTTTCCTAGAAAACCTGAAGTCAAGTTCTGACAAGGGAATGCTGAGCTTTTGCCCAGTTTTATCTTGGAAAAAGTACATGACACTCTAATCTTGAATGAAGGATCTAAGACACATTAAGGCAAATTTTAAATGGGAATTCCTCCTAAAATTGCAGTGAATAAAGACTCAGTGTGTTAAAATCACAGGGGGAAAAAAAAATAAGAGCCATCCCCTTTTGTCACACAAAGTTCCTCCAATTTTTTTAAGATTTATTTCCCTTCTCAATATAGGATTCATGTTTTTGTGAGAAATCTCACAATGCTTTTTTTTTCACCCCTAAAATATCATGGCTAATTTGGATTCCTGTCAATCCATTCTCTCTGCCCAGAACTTTAGAAAACAGTGAATTTTTTTTTTTTTTTTTTTTTTTTTTTTTTTTTTTTTTTTTCCAAAATGCTGTGATGGGATAGAACTCAGCATTTTTTCTGGAAGAACAGAGATTCCCAGTGAGGTGTTTACTGGGACACCTAGGAAATTTCAGGCGGCACACAAGGATAACCACAATTATTCAGATCAAAGGTTTAATGAGTCCATTGTCACCCAAAGGAGGAATAAATTCAGCAAGGGGTTCCACAAATTCTGACTTTGTTTTAGGCTTAGCTCCTTTATGCAACATTTGATATTCTCCCAGTTCTGCTGTCCCAAGGGATGGGATAGATCCATGTTCTCCATGCAATATCCAATCCTGCTCCAAAGTACCTTGCACAGAAATACTGCAGCCATGGAAAACCCTGTTATTAATCCAATTTATTTCGCCAGCCCCGGGTTTGGATGCTTTATGGTAAGCTCTAAAAACCAAGGGCTACCTGGAAAACTTCAAAGCTGCTTTTAAAGAGGAAGAGCAAACACGCTTTGAGGTAACTGCAACCTCAATTCACCTCCATGAGACTTAAATACCGGCACTGTGTGACACACGAGGGCAAACGTGGCGATATTCCTGACATTTGGTGGCAATGTGGGGGCAGGAATCGGGGCCCCGCTCCGGCCCAGCACTTCAGGGCGGAGCTCAGAGCCCCCCATATGCGAGGGGAGAGGGGGCACAGGACCCCCGTTCCGCCACCGTTCCCCCTCCATTGGCATTCCCATTCCTATTCCCGCTCCCGTTCCCGCTCCCGTTGCCATTCCCATTCCCGGTGCCGCTCACCCCTCGCTCGGCGTTCCGCGGAGCCGGCACAGGCCCGCTCAGCAGAGCAGCAGAGCGCATCGCTCGGCCGGCGCCGAGCCCGCAGCGCGGCTGGTGGCATAGCTCGGCGCTCCCGCGTGCTGCCTGCCGGCGGGCGGGGCCGAGCGAGGCCGAGCCCGAGACGAGCGGGGCCGAGCCCGAGACGAGCGGGGCCGAGCCGGGGTCGAGCCCGAGCCGAGCGGAGCTGAGCGAGGCCGAAGAGGGGCCGAGAGGGCGCGATGGCGGCGACGCCGCCGCCCAAGCCCTGGGAGTCCCGGCGGCTGCCGGGCACCGCGCCCGCCTTCCAGTGAGTGCGGGCGTCCCTCCGCGGGTGTCCCCGCCGCGGCGGCCGTGGGTGTTCGCCCCTCGGGCCGGCCGGGCCCGCTCCCCTGTGGCGGGCTCAAAGGTCGGGCCCGGCCGCGGCTCCGGGCGGGGTGGGCGGCCCGGGGCTGCGCCGCGTCCTGAGGGGATTGTGCCGGGCGGGGAGCGGGGGGGCTCGGCGTGAGGGGCTTGGAGCTCAAAGCCCGCCGGTGTCAGAGGAAAGCTGCGTGTGCGGTGCGGGGAAGGGAAAGCTGTGTTGTCATCGGTGGGTAGAGTGAGTTCACAGTCCATTCCTGGGAATATTAAAGGTCCGTTCCTGGCGGCATTCACGGTCCTTGCCTGGGGGCTAGCAGCTCTGCGCAAGCCTCTGCAGGACTGGGGGAGCTGCGTGTCTTGGAAAAGATTGGGACTTGGAAAAGATTCCGGTGTGTTGTCAGCCTTGTGTGTGTTCCCGTCTGCTGGGAGCTCTCCCAGAAAACCCAACCTGCTCCTGGAGAAGGATGCACACAAAGTGTTTGCAAACTCCTCCTTTGTTACGGGAAGTCAAGGAAGGCTCGCTCGGCGGCTGAATGCTCGTCTTGTTTTTCACTTGGTGCTGGTGATTGCACTTGGAGGGAGCTGAAAGTGGGCAAAAGGTTGGCCCAGCACTGAACACTGAGCAGAAACTTCGCTCAGTGTTCTCCGCAGCGTGCTGAGCCAGCACTTCGGTGTTGGTTTTTCATTCTGGGTTTATTTACCCCATTTTAAATGGCTTCAGGCGGCTTTGAAGTGGGGTGTCCCAAGTTGATCACTGGAGAGAGGACTCTAGTGTGACTTACTGAGTTACAGCAGCTCTGTTTGCTGGGCTAATAACTTATTTTTCCTCCTGTTTTCAACTGCTAAGGGAGTTACAGTCTGTGATGGAAAAAGCAGCAGTGTAAAGATACAAATATTATTCTTTGCTGTGGAAACCTGTAAGTTTTGCTGAGAGGAAGCTGTTCCCTACCTTTTATAGAAATAGCACAGCAGGCAGCAGTTCCATAGCAATTCCAGCTTGACTTCTTTCTTTTTTTTCTCTGGACTGCAGAAGTGGGAAGTCATGGGACGAGGCCATAAGCCTGGGAAATAAAATGTTTGCTTTTTAGGGTGATAATGTGTGAATCAAACACATATATTTTTATTGAACTGGCAGAAGTTGGACAAAAAAAGCTGCTTGACAGAATGCAAATGCCATTGAAGTACTTCTAGAGTTTTATTACGAAGGGCATTGATAAAACAATATAAACTTACGGGCATGCAAAGGAAAATAAGAATTACCAAATTAAGAACTCTCTCTGCCAACACTTTTCAGTAGTAGATTCAAACCCTTGACAATCTGCACACAGGTAATCAGGTAGTTGGGTAGAGAGGAAAATTGGGGACCCCAAAGCTCTTGCACATATTGTTGCATAATTACTTAGATTCTCAATTAGATCATGCCACCCTTTAAGGGTGGATTCACAGGAGCTCTCAAGCTTGGTTCCTGCTGTATCATTGGCTCATTGTGCAGAAGAGCTGGGAACAAAGGTTGGAAATAAAGCTTTCAGATTGGAAAGTTCATAATAGTTTGTGTTAGGGCCTATGAGAGGCTTTCATGTACAGAAGAATGACCTGGGTGTTGGAGCAGCAGGTTTGATGGCTCTGCATTGCCTATTTCATGTGTTGATACATTAAATACACAATAAATGATAGAATTAATAGACAGATTTTTTTCCATGTTTACACTCAATATCTGATTATGGGGGTTCTATTCCCCTGTAGGATCTGTGTTTCCTGTCCAAATTTTTTACTTCCAGCAAACTCTATGCAGCACACTGAGTGCTGGGCTCCCAGGTTCCCTATCCTCGCCCTGCTGAAACTCGCTGTGGTATTTATGTATTTATGGGCTCTGTGGGAGGGAAAACTTAAACTCTGGGGGCTGATCCTGATTCTCTGAATTCATTTAGGTCTGCTGACTTGGGTGACAACCTGCTGACCAGGCCCGGCCAACCCACGGTGGCTCGAATCCCTCCGCCCATTTTGCCGAGACCATCCCAGCAGCCAGCGAGCAGCAGCCTGAGCGCTTTCAGGCCGGCCTATAGCAGTTCTTTCTCTCCAGGCTACGGCTCATATGGCACCTCCTTCTACGGGAGCTACAGTCCCTACAGCTATGGCTACGGAGGGCTGGGCTATAACCGCTTCTGTGCCGACAGCATTCCCCCCAGCAGGTTTGTGCAGCAGGCTGAGGAGAGCAGCAGAGGTGCCTTCCAGTCCATCGAGAGCATCGTGCACGCCTTCGCCTCCGTCAGCATGATGATGGATGCCACCTTCTCTGCTGTCTACAACAGCTTCAGGGCCGTGCTGGATGTGGCCAACCACTTCTCCCGCCTCAAAATCCACTTCACCAAGGTGTTTTCGGCTTTTGCTCTCGTGAGAACTATAAGGTACCTCTACCAGCGCCTGCAGCGCCTGCTGGGTCTGCGGCAGAGCTGTGACAACGAGGATTTGTGGGCTGAGAGCGAGGGCAAAGTAGCTCGTGCTGGCCTCGAAGACAAGGTGGCCAACTCTGCAAAATCCTGGCCCATTTTCTTGTTCTTTGCTGTTATATTGGGAGGCCCCTACCTGATCTGGAAGCTGCTTTCTACATACAGTGACGAAGAAACAGGTAAAGATGACCTGCAGCACCAGAGAAGTGCAGCAGTGTATTGTTCCTTTTGTTGTTGCCTGGGTAGAGATTAATCTCACACTACAGCCATAGTAATTAATAGATAATGGGGCACAGTACTGGATTTTGGGCATGTGATGCAAGTGACAGCCTGCTTAAGTAACCTGTTATTAAGATGTGGTTTCCTGCTGAAGCTTTCTGTGATTCCAGAATCATGGTTCCTCACCTATTAGATGTGGCAGTTTGTGTTGGGTGGGACAAGTGTTGGTTGCATTTATTCAACAAATCTTGCTTTTCACGTTACTTCTGCTACTTCTCTATTGGAAAAGTGTTAGCTAGGAGGTTCAAGTGTTTTCTTCATTTTCCTTTGAAAAACACACCAAACTTTGTAACTCAAAGCAGATAAACCTGTGATTTGTGTTTGAAAACAGTGTCTAGTAACTGGGCAAGTGGAGAAGATGACCATGTAGTTGGAAGAGCAGAATACGATTTCAATGCTCTCTCAGAAGAAGAAATTTCTTTCCGTGCTGGTGACATGCTAAGATTAGCACCCAAAGGTAAACTTTGGATTTTCTGTTTATTTTCTTATCACGTGTGAAGTAAGTTACAATGTAAGAGTCTGAAAATTGAAACAAAACATCCCCCAAAACAGCTTATTTGACCAAATTCCCCATCCACGCTGATATTTACTCCCCATTAAGTGATTGCTTGCATTCTAATAAAACTTACAGAGTAGTTTTATTCAGCTTTGTTGAATTTTCTTGTAACTTGACGCGTTTGCCTTCTCTTCTTCAGAACAACAACCCAAGATCCGTGGTTGGCTTCTGGCTAGTTACGATGGCCAAACAACAGGACTTGTGCCAGCTAATTACATCAAAATCCTGGGCAAGAGAAGAGGTAGGAGAACAGTGGACCTGGAAAGGATTCCTGAGCAGCGGCCAGCCTTTCCCAGCACAGCTGTCAGAGGAGCCCCTGCTGCTGTGACTTTGGAGGAGCAGGAGGCTGCTTTTGAAACTGTTTTTGCTGGAAGCAGCAAAGTTCCCGTTGCGTCGGACTCCGCTGTGGCCGGTGGAGAGAAGCAGGAACTCTGATGCACTTTGATCAACAAAGCAGCTGAGCTGTGCTTTATCGATACCACTTAGGGTTTGTTGAAAATCTGGTTTGTAGTGGAGCACTGGTGGGTCTGTACCAGTTATTGCTGCTACTGGCTGGTGAAGGGATGGAGAAATGATTGCTCAAATTTGTGGTATTTATTTTTTTGACTCACCTAAGGCTGTACGTCAGTGATTCTATCCACCCACCTGGAAGAGACTCTGAGATCTTGAGATAGGAGAAATGAGGCATTTATAAAAAAAGCAAACAAAGGAAAAAAAAATAGGAACTGCCGTTCATGTATAGGAGACAAATTAACACCCAGTCTTTGTAGGAGTATCGAGCCCCTTCAAAAGATGTGCAAAGGGAAGATTGATTTCTGTAAGATGTCCTCCAAAACTTCACACTCAGAACCATGAAGGAATAATAGCACATTGCCTCCCTCTGAAAAGAGGGAGAGTTGCAGGAGATGCACACACTCGAACAGTTAGAAGGTTTTAGTTGCTACTCATTAGTAGAAGGGTTCTGTCATAATGAACTTAGCTCTTAGGACAAAAGGGACTTGGGAGGAAGGGAGGAGAAATGGAGTTTATAAAGGGAGAGCAGTGAGGCATCACCAGTAGTTCCAAGCAGTTCTGTTCTGTTTATTAAAATTAGAATAAAGAGTATTCTGCAGTCAGGCACTCATCAGTGGTTACTCCCTTAAGTAACTTTGCATCACGCTTAGACATTTTGTGTTGTAGCCTGTTAGCTGCCTCTCTATCAGCTACCATCTGCATCTCTACTTATTTCTGTCTTTTATTGATTTTATATGAGTGTCAAAATATCTATCCTGTGTTTTTGAGCAGTAGGAAAGCCTTGAGTTGGGGGAAGCTGAAAGTAATTGGAGCATCAAAGAAAAAGTCACATTTCTT